GTTGTTTGATCAATTATATAATACTAAACATTGTAACTAAATTCAGAAGAAATGTTTAGTACTTAAAACATTGTAGTAAAACTTTCCTGAATTGTAATTATGTTTTTCTTGTGTAGAAGTGTTATATAGCGATTAAGTTTTTTAAGCATAAAATACATCATATTGGGATAAAATTCTGTGATGCCATTGGAATAAAAGTACAAACTAAACAAGTGCAAGTAAAATTTCTAGCTGTAAAAGGAGCTTGTTTGTAAATTTTTAAATAGATACTGGGGTGGTAGAGAATTCAATTAAGTTGGATATATTTCTAAAAAATTAACACTTTAATTAAAAATGGAAATTATTTCTTTTCAACTATTAATAATATAATGAAATATTTCAGATATCAGATCAAAATTTGTGAGGGAATAAATTTTGCAAGCATTCTTTTAAGGGACATGCAAGCAAACAAGTTTGAAGGGCAGGACTTTGTCATTTCACGTGGCTTTCAGTTCATTGACTCAGAGAGATGCTTGCGAGCAAAAGCACTTTCACACTGCAGTAAGATTCTCTGAAACTAAAAGCAGGATAACATCGAGTACTCTATAGAATATTTCAAATCAAAGCCATATTCCTAGATCCAGGAAGCCGTAGTCTGCTAAGCTCAAAGTCAAAACAAAACAAAAATTGTAAAAGAAAATGTTTTCTTTTTCTGATTAGAATTGAAGTGTCCTGTATATGTCTGACTGTAAGATTCCATTGATCTTAGTAAGCTACATGACTAATTTAACTACTTTTTGGTACCCAATATTAGCATCATGCTCCATAGGTATATAGAATAAAGAACAAGATCTAATGTCAGAAATACTAAATAAGTGTGTGTGGGGTGAGCAAACATTTTAATGTTAAAGAAATAAACTATATATTAACAACAGTTTTTTTTAAATAAAAGGTCTTTAATTTTTCTTTTTATGTGGCAAAGTTGAATGTGATATGACTAACATTCCTCAATGTTATTATATTAGTGAGAGCAAACAACAAATGCTGAGTGCCTGTTATTGGTATAAGATGGTGCTGGGGTTACACAAAGGTATAGGGCATGGTCTTTTTTTTTTTTTTTAACATAAACAGAAGAAAATTTAGTAAGGAGAAGCCAGCACAGTTGGTAGTAACAATTTGGAAACATCACAGAACAGACTGAACTGTAAATGAAGAGCAGGGGTTAAATCCACGTAGAACAGAGGGTGGCAAAATATGACCCAGAGCCAAGGCTCACCCAACGTCTGTTTTGTGTGACACCTCGAGCTGAGGATGGTCTTAATAATTTTTAATGACTTGAAAAGCTAAAGATAATATTTGGTAACACATGAAAATTATGTGAAAGTCAAATATTATTAGAGCACATCAATGCTTATTTATTGTTGAACTTGTTTTGCTCTACGGGGCAGATTTGAGTAGTTGTAACAGAGACCATATGGTTTGCAAAGCCTAAAATATTTGTTATCTGATCTTTAGCACAAAAGGATTGCCTATTTCTGATGTAGAGAAGCAGCTTTATAGGCAGAATTGGTTTCACTCACAAAGGCTCAGTGGTGAGAGTACAGCATGATGAAGTAGAAGTACTAGAAGAAAAGTTGGTAGAGGTGGGTTAGGGCTAGCTTGAGAGACTTTACACTGGGTGTTGAGATGCCACAGCAATCTTCTGAGCCAAGGAGTGATTGTCATAGTGCTCTTTAGAAAGATTAATTTGGCAGCAGGATGTAAAATAGATTAAAATACATGATTAACAACTAGAGTAGAGAAGCAATTTAGAAGATTAAAGCAATGGTATAAATATAAGGCAGTGTGTATCTGGAGCTTAGCGGTGATTTGGGAATAAAAAGAAACATAAAAAACATTAACTCTTACACTTACTATTAATCATGGATAGCAATATAACTTTAAATATCTTTTAATCGGAATATTACACCAGGCCTAATAAACATGATTTAACCTAAATCTTTTATACAGAACCATGTGTATAATAAGGCACCTCTCCAAACGTGAAATTAACAAACCAATCACAAAATCTCCTCTTGAATACAATGCTATTAACTTAGTCATCTACTAAATCATTTATTCACTAAGAATTTATTCTGTGCCTACTATGTTCTAAGCACTATTCTTGGTGGTGAATGAAAGAGTGGTGAACAAAAAGAGACAAAAAAATGTCATCAAGATGGTAGGGTAGGAGGATGTGGAGCTCACCTCTCCCCTCAAACACATCAAAAATTCATCTACATGTGGAACAATTCTCACAGGAAACTAACTAGAAACTAGCAGATCTCTTACACAATCAAAGCTATAAGAAAGATCTCCATGTAACCAGGCAGGACAGAAAAACGGGTGTCAGGTTGGGGCATGCACTTCCGGGAGGGTTCTCTAAGGAAGAGAAGGTCCACATAGGCAGACCCTTGCCCAGGGGAGGGGCTGTACAGACTCACAATCTAGGCATCTCAATCTTAGGGTCCTGTATAAAGGAGAGAAGCCCCTTTACCTGCTGGAAACTGCTGAGACAGATAGAAGAGCTCGAGAATCCTAGACTCTATTTGTAAGGAGTGAGCCCCTGCTGGCTTGCTAACAATCAGGACAGAGATCCTGGCACTTGTGGCTGACACCTTGTTGCACTTCCTAACATGAAGGGGCAAATGTCCTGTCCTGATCACTCCAAACCACAGTCTGGCACTAGATCAGGGCAGAGATTGGAGCTAGTTGTGCAGACAGACAGGCTGCCTGGGGCGAGACCCAGGCAGAACTGCAGAGACCATTGTCATCACACACACAAGGGTGGCAGGGTGAGCCAGACAGACATTGTCAGCATATGCACTGGGTGGCACCACAGAATATGCAATGGCTAAGTGCTGAACCTCAGGCACACAAGCCCAGAGAGAGAACTCGATCTAGGTATGCAGAGACAGCTGAAAGGGCCTAGGGTGCGACCTGGGTGGAGCCACAGAACTCAGGTCAGCCTGTATACCAGCCAGGAGTACACACCGATCTTTTTTCCAGAGAGAGCACCCTGGCTCCACTTACCCCAGCTGCAGCTTAGCACTAGATCTGGGGCAGACAGGTCCTGGAAGAAGTCTGCACAGAGGCAGCCCAGAGCTCAGGCAGCAGCACAGCCTCAATTTCTATAGCCACAATGCTCTGCTCGCCAGCCAGCTCTCCACCACAGCCTTGCACTAGACCTGGGATAAACAGAGAAGGGATGTGACCTTAGGCTGCTACTGTGCGAAACTACAGATGCCTATACAGGAGGCACACAGGTTCACCATGACTGCACAAGCTTCACTTGCTTCAGCAATCACCTCCTTTGGGGCAGGGCATGAACTCAAGTTCAAAGAAGCTTGACCGAACCCTTCCTCAGGGCTTCTACTCCAACAACTGGGAGACTGACTCAATCCCAGACAGCAACGGAGCAAAGAGGAAGCTGTACCTCACATCCTGTGGTGTGGGCTTTAGACACCACACCACCAATCACAACCCTCAAGGGGACAAAGGCCAGGACACTGTGAGGAAAGATGTGGCTGGCATCCATAATGAAACCAGCTTTGCATCAAAAACATTGGACACAAATAGTTTACACAGGAATGTTCCTACATAAAAATACCCCTCCAAGACAATAGTGGATAACTGTTTCTCCTAAATTCAGAGAGACAGAAGAAGTTAAATAAAACGTAAAAGCAGAGGAACTACTCCAATTAAAAAACAAGAAAAATCCCCTAAAAGAACAAATAATGACACAGACCTCAGCAGTCTGCTAGATCTCAAGTTCAAAAGGAGGTAATAAAAATGCTAACTGAATTAAGAAAGATTATCAATAGAAAATCAGATCACTATAATACGGAACTAGAAACTATAAAGATGAACCAATCAAAATTAGACAATTCAGTTGCTGAGATTAAAAAAGAAAAGGAATGAATAGCAAACTAAATGGTGCAGAAAGAATAAGTGATCCAGAAGACAGAATAATGGAAACCATCCAATAAGAACAACAGACAGAAAGACAAATGAAAAAAAATGAAAGCAATATACAAGATCTATGGGCTAATATAAAGGCTGCATAGGTACACAAAATAGGGGTTTCAGAAAAAGAAAGAGAAAAGGGAATTTAAAATGTATTTAAAGAAATTATGGCTGAGAAGTTCCTAAACCTGAAGAAGGTAACAGATATTCAGGTACAGGAAGCAGCACAGAGGATATCAAACAAGATGAAACCAAACAGATTCAAATGAAATATATGATTAAATGGCAAAAGCTAGTGAAAAAGAGGGGATTCTAAAGGCAGCGAGAAAAACAAAGGGCCTTTTACAATGGAATCTCCATAAGGCTATCAGTTGATTTCTTGGCAGAAAGTTAGCAGACCAGAAGGGAGTGGCATGATATATTTAAATACTAAAAGGGAAAAACCTGTAACATAGAATACTCTACCTAGCAAGATTTTCATTTAGAATAGGAGAGAGAAAAAACTTATCAGAGAAGCAAAAACTAAAAGAATTCAGCATTACTAAACCTACGCTAAAAGATAAATTGAAGGATCTTTTGTAAATAGAAAGTAAGCAAGAATATATAGGAAAGAGAAAACCCCAATAAGAAAGGCAAATATATAGTGAGGATTGAAGACTACTTAAATAAGTCAGCACGTAGATTAAAAAATAAACAAAAAATTGTAAAAGAAACGGACTTACAGACATAGAAAATAAACTTATGGTTACCAAAGGTGTGTGTGTGTGGGGTTGCTGGGTAGAATAGGAATATGATAACAAATGGTACAAACTAATATATATATAAAACAAATAAGCAACAAGAATTTACTGCACAGCACAGAGAACTATATTCAATATCTTATACTAACTTTTATGGAAAATAATCTGAAAAATATAGCTGGATCACTTTGCTGTACAGCTGAAACCAATACTATAATCTGATTTTTTTTTTAAGGATCCTTGTGATGCAAATGAGTAATGGCAAGGGTGGGTGGAAGCAGTAAGACCAGTTAGGAAGCTCTTTGCAGCAAACCAGGTGAGAGATGATGGCAGCTTAGACCAAGGAGGTAGCAGTGAAGGTTGTGAGAACTAGTCAGACTCAAGATATTCTTGAGGAAGAGGTGACAGAATTTCCAGATGGCAAGACAAAAAGAAGAGACAAGAATGACTCCGCAGTTTCTGGCCTGAGCGCCTGAAAAGAAGGAGTGGTAATGAACTAAGATGGAGAAAACTACAGGAGAAGCCAAAGCGGGGTAAGAATGATGTGGAGAAAGGCTATTTTTGAATAGGCTAATTTGAGATGTTTATTAGATATCTAAGTGGAGATACCAAGTTTGCAGGTGATAATGAAATAATACTCCTTGAGCTTCTCAAACGGTGTCTCAAAAACTGCCAGGAAAGCCTGAAGTATGTGCTTGGCAAACAAAGTCCAACTAAAGGTATAAATTTGGAAATCACTAGCCTAAAGATGCTATTTAGTGCCATGAAAATAGCTGACATTATCCAGGTATTAAGGTATGAATTTAAGGACTGAAGAAGTCTAAGGACTGAGTTCTGGGTCCCTATAGTGTTAAGAGGTCAGGGAAATGAGAAATCAGTAACAGAAATACATAAATGGTGGCCAGTTAGTTATGGAAAAACCTAAAGGAGAATGGTGTCCTAGAAGGTCCTTGAAGAAACTGTTCCAAGGAGGAAGGAGTGAGCAACTAACTGGTTTAAATGGTAAGTTATTGGTGACCTTGACTAGGCCCACTTCAGTGGAGTAACAGAGGGTAGAAGCCTGAACTGTACGAGTTCTAGAGAGACTGGAAGAAAAGCTATTGGAATAATGAGCCTTCTTCACAGGAGTTATACTCTAAAAGGGAGCAGAGAAATGAGACAGAAATTTGAGAGAGCTGTGGGGTCACGGGAGGTTTCTGAAGATGATAGAAAATGTGTATCCTCGTGGGAAGGATCCAGTAGAGACAGATAAAGCAAAATGCAGAAAAGAGGGGAGAACTACTGACATGATGTCCCAAAATTGTCTAGCGCGCATGGGGTCCAAGGTACAGCGGCAGGATTGGTCTTAGATAGGAGCACAGAGAGTTCATTCACATGCATGCAGCACAGGAGGAAGCACTATAGTGAAGAACTGAAGAAACAAGCTTGCCCAGTCACTGGCTATATGACCAGGGGCTGTTATTTTACCTCTTTATGCCTCCAGTCTCTTATTTGCAAAATGAGGATAAACATGGTTCCTGGTGTATACTGCTGGAATGAGAAATAAGTTAGTTAATTTATGTAAAGGGCTTATGTAGATGTTAGGCCTATGTAGATGTTAGCCACATAACAACGTGGGCTTGCAATTAGCATCTGAGGTAGGGGGCAGTGTTGTGGCACTCAGCCCTTAACCTGTGGTATATGATGCTATCTGATAGTACTAGAATTGAGTTACATTCTAGAACACCCAACTGGTATTGGAGAAATGTTGTTGGTGTGAGAAAACAAAAAACAAAACACAACCCTCCACACACATTGGAATTGAGTGCAGAGACTACATAGGCTGCCACAACAAAATACCATGGACTGGGTGACTTTAAAAGCAGGAATTTATTTCTCATAGTTCTGGAGACTGGAAGTCCAAGATTAAAGTGTCAGCAGAGCCAGTGCAGAGGACCACCTCGCCATGTTCTCACACAACCTCTCCTTGGTGTGTGGGTGGAGAAAGAGTGGAATCAAGCTTTCTGGTGTCTTCTTATGAGAGCACTAATCCCATCATGAGAGGTTCATTCTCATGACATAATCCAAACCTAATTCCTTCCCCAAGGTCCCCACCTCCAAATACCATCACATTAGGGGGAGGGCTTTAGTGTATAAATTTCAGGAGCACACAATTTAGGCCATAGCAGATGGGTAGAGAGAGTGGGATTCAGATCACTGGAGTAGAGGAGGACAAGAACTGTGTAGTTATTGGGTATTGGAGTGATCAGCTATGAAATCAGAGGAAAAGTGTTAGAGGAAGTAACAGTGAACCAAGATTTAAAATTCTTACAGGAGGGGGATCAACCTGGTAGAGTAGGAGGATGTAGAGCTCACCTCTCCCCACAATCACATCAAAAACACATCTACATGTGGAATGACTGTCACAGAAAACTAACTGGAAACTGGTAGAAGAATTTCTATACAACCAAAGCTGTATGAAAGATCTCCATATAACTGATTAGGACAGAAAAGAGAAAAAGGCATTGGGTTGGGCAACCTATACTCCTGGGAGGGATCTCTAAGGAAGAGAATGTAAAACTGGGCACATCTTCACCTTGGGGAGTGAGCAGGTTGAGCCACAATCTGGGCATACCATTCCTGGGGTCCTGTGCAAAGAAGACAAGCTCCCTTGCCTGCTGGGAAATCTGCTGAGACAGGTAGAAGGGCTGGAGAAGCTTAGACTCTCCTTGCAAGGAGTGTGCTAGTGCTGGCTTGCTAACGATCAGGGCAGAAAATCTTGCTTTGGTAGCTGCTGTTTGGCTTCCCTTCGCAATCTGAAAGGGTGAACACCCTGACTCTACTCACTCCAAACCACAGATCGGTGTGAGATATGGGCAAAGATTTGGTCTAGCTACGTAGAGATAGATGGGGTGCCTGGGGTGTGATATGGCTGAAACTGTGGAGGCCATTGTAGGCATGTACACGGGGCAGTGGGTCAGTCTAGCCTCAGAACCCTTTGCCAACTCCTGCACCAGGCAGTGCCACAAGAGGGAGCAGTAGCCAGGTGCTGAATGTTGGGACAGACATGCCCTGGACAGGAGTACGCAGCAATTCGTTTCCCAGTGAGAGCCCTCTGGCTCTGCCTACTCCACTCTGCAGCTTAGCACCGGATGAGACCTGTCTGCAACAGATGAGATCTAAGGTAGACAGGACCTGGCAGAATTCTGCCACAGAGAAAGCCCAAATCTCAGTCAGCAGCATAGTCACCTCAATTTCTGCAGCCACAACACCCTGGCCCCCATCACAGCCTCCTGCACCCCACAGCATTGCTAGATCTGGGGCAAACACAATAGAAAATGGGACATGTATTTGGGCTGCTTCTGACTGGAACATGGACACCTACACAGGCAGCACATAGGTCCTCTGTGACCACACAGGCCTCATCTGCTTCAGTATCCCACCTTTGGGGCGGGCCTCTCACTTGAGTGCAATGGAGCTTTATTAAACCTGACCCTTGGGGCTTCTGCTCCAACAACTGGGGAGCAGACCTCATCTCCAACAGGGCAGTGACAGCCACAGAGTAGAGAGGGCAAATCACAGGCTTTAAATCCCCCCACACCAACCACACTCCCTATCAAGAGGATAATGGCCAGCACACTCTGAGGAAAGATGTGGCTGGTATCCATACCAAAACTAGCCCTTGCGAAAACACTGGGCAAGCACAGCCTACACAGAGATGCTCACACAGAAGAACACCCCTCCAAGACCACTGCAGATGACTGTTTCTCCTAAATTCATAAAGACAGAAAGTGAGGTAAAATGAAAAGGCAGAGGAACTACTCTCAATTGAAAAAAACAAGAGAAAGCCCTGGAAAGAACAAATAATTAAACAGACCTCACCAGTCTACTAGAACTCAAGCTCAAAAAGGAAGCAATAAAAATGCTAAATGAATTAAGAAAGACTATCAATAGAAATGCAGATCACTGTAATAAGGAACTAGAAACTGTAAAGAAGAAACAATCAAAATCAGGCAATTCAATAGCTGAGATAAACAATCTAGAAGCAATGAACAGCAGACTAAGTGGCACAGAAGAACGAATAAGTGACCTGGAAGACAGAATAATGGAAATCACCAATCAGAACAGCAGACATACTGACAAAATGAAAAAAAACCAAAACCAAAAAAAAAAAAAAAGAATGCAACAGATCTATGTAATAATACAAAATGTGCCAACTTATGCATAATAGGTTTTTCAGAAGGATAAGAGACAGAAAAGGGGATCGAAATGTAAATAAATTATGGCTGAAAAATTCCCAAACCTGAAGAAGGTAACAGATATCCAGGTACAGGAAGTACAGAGGGTCCCAAACAAGATGAAATCAAACAGACCCAAATGAAACATAATTAAAATGGCAAAAGTTAACAAAAAAGAGAAGATTCTAAAGGCAGCAACAGAGAAACAAAGAGCCTTTATAAGGGAACCCTCATAAGTCTATCAATTGATTTCTCTGCAGAAAGTTTACAGGGCAGAAGGGATTGGCAAGATATATTAAAGTCCTGAAAACTTGCAGTGTAAGATACTTTACCTACCAAGATTTTCATTTAAAATAGAAGGAGAGAGAAAAAATTTCTCAGACAAGGAAAAACTAGAAGAATTCAGCAATACTAAACCTACCCTAAAAGAAATATCAAAGGGTCTTCTCTGAATAGAAAAGAAGTAAGAATCTACAGGAAAGAGAAAATCACTATACAAAAGACAGATATAAAAAAGGATTGAATTAAATAAGCCATTACATTAAACAATAATCAAAAAATTGTAAAAGTGATTATAGCTACAATTAACAGTAAATGAATAAGCATGAAGATGCAAAACAGGACATCAAAATCACAAAATGTGAGGGAGAAGAGTATAAAAATGTATATCTTTTAGAATGTGTTTGAATTTGAGTGACTACCAGTTTAAAGTAAGTAGCATTAATTATGTATCAACAAACATGAACTCCAAAGTAATTAAATCAAAGCCTACAACAGATTAACAAAAACCAAAAAGAAAGATATTCAAGATAATACAAAAGAAAATTATCAAACCACAAGAGGAAAAACAAAAAGAAAAAATGAACAAAGAACTGTAAAAACAATTGGAAACTAAGGAATAAAATGGCAGTAAGTGCTGAAAATGCTCATCCATAAAAAGAATGAAATACTCATAGAGAATATTACACTTAGTGAAGTAAGTCAGACAGAGAAAGACAAATACTGTATGATATTGTTTATGTGTGGAATCTAAAAAATAATACAAATAGATCTATATACAAAACAGAAGCAGACTCACAGACTAAGAAAACAAAATTACTGTTGCCAAAGGAGAAAGGGAGGGGCCAATAAGAAACAGGAATTAACAGGTACAAACTGCTATACATAAAACAGATAAGCAACGAGTATTTACTATACAGCACAGGAAATTATATTCAATATCTTGTAATAACCTGTAATGGAATATAAGCTGAAAAAATAACCAATTACTTTGCTGTACAGCTGAAACTAACACAATAATATAATTCAACTATACTTCAATAAAAAAAAAATTCTTACACCAGGGGAGTGGCCAAGGATATGTAAATGACTGCAACAAGGAGTGCATTGCTTCGCATAGTCCGGCAGCTTGAGATTCAGAGCTGAGCATTTTCAGGGAGGAGTGAGGAAGAATGGTCACTTCCATGCTGACTGATAAGAAAAGATATTTTCTTTCCTACGATTCTACTTGAGGAGGCTGCAGAGAAAACAACATCTTCAAGTTAGACTTTGAGCAAGAAAGTCAAGAGAGAATATTCATAGCAGGGGCCCCTTAAGACATTTACTAAAAAAGATATTTTATGTAATTTAGTATAAAAATCTTCACTGGCCTTGGGGGATCAGCAAACCTTAACTTGGGAAGTCTTGGCCTTGCTTTCAGAATTATATAAGAATTTCCTTATTGTCTGGCTTCTCTGTTATCAAGAAGTAAGTTTCGGGGTATCGTGTGTACCATGTCTTTCTGAGCAAGACTTGCCATGTTCTCCTCACTCACAGCTCTACCATAAGGAATAATATAATTGTGATGAGGGGAGTCATCTATGCCAGGAGAGGCTGCCTGTGCAAGGACTAGAGGGGATGCTGGGGCAGTTGCCAACAGTGGGAGTTAACAGCTGTGCCAGTGGCTGCAACAAGGAGAAATTTTGCAGGAGTCATCAAGGGCATCATTGATCCCAGAGAGGAGAGACACTGAATCAGCATTTATGTTTTGGCGGGGGGAGGCACTATTGTTATCAGTATCATTCTGTTTCTCTTTCCCAAATTAATGTTTTCTGGGTTGACCTTGAATTCCTCTTTGTTAATACTATGCTGATGATGACAATGACTATCTGAAAGGAAGTTCTGGAATGCCACCCTATCTTACACAAATCTAAAAAAACCCCAAAACAGAGATTTTGCCCACGCAAAATAACCATCATTTTGTTGGAGTAGGATGTATTCTGGAGGAATGGCTAACAATTTAAGTATGAATGGGATTTTATAGCTAATCAGGTGGTAGAGATAGGAAAGAAAAGGTTTGTAGGAAGTCAGTGTTTAATGGTCTACACAGGATTGGCAAATACTTTATTCCAAACTCCCCAATCCTCTTTCACCCCCAACCCATAGTGGACACCAGTAATCAATCTTCTAATTCTTTCCCACTGAGCTCAAAGGAGGTCACACATTCTTGAATATATTTTTTCCAGGCACCATTCCTAATCAATTGACATTAGAAAAAGGTAAAATGCTGCCATCATCTCAGATCTAGAAGTCTTCTGTGCTTCACGGGAAATGCAATCTCCCTGTTATGTTCTTCAAAGGGGGCCCCCCTGTCCTTGAACCACAAAGTTGGCATTTGTGAGTATGGTCAATTATTCAGTAACATTTATTTTATATCTACCTATGAATTTCACTGAGTTTCATGAATGTGGGGCATTTTCTTCAATAGTTTGTAATGTACATATGTTTATATAGTGCCTCTAGTATTGGTAAATGATGATTATAGTGATTATACGTAAGATTTGGTTTAATAATTTGAAAACTGTATTTCTAATATAATTATAATATAAGTGATTATACGTAAGATTTGGTTTAATAATTTGAAAACTGTATTTCTAATATAAATAGGCTTTTAGTTAGATATTATTTATGTCTAACATTTACATATGAATAGATATTTATTTATATTTTTCTATTACTCATGATTTCTATAAGAAATTTATCTTGGTAATTTAAATATCTTCAATTAAAATCCCATTTAATATAAATAATGCATTTCATCATATAATTATATGGTTTAGAGTTTGAAGAGATCTTAAGAAATTATCTATTCCTCTCTAAAAAGTAATGAATAAATTCCTTCTATAGAATTTTTTACAGATAGTCACTCAAATTTCTCAGAACATATTCGGTAAGAGGGAGGTCACTATCTCCATAGATAGCTTATTTAATGTGCAGGCAACTATAATTAAAAATTCTTTCTTTTTTTAAAGCAAATCCCAGATACGTTATTTCACCCTTAAATACTTTAATTAATACGGTAGTCCTCCTTTATCCACAGGAGATTCATCCTAAGACTTCTAGTGGGTGCCTGAAACCAGGCATATTACTGAGTCCCATATATACTGTTTTTCTTATACATACATACCTATGATGTTTAATTATAAATTAGACACAGTAAGAGATTAACAAAAATAGCTAAGAATGAAATAGAACACTTACCACAATATACTGTAATAAAAATTATGTGAATGCGGTCTTTCTCTGAATATCTTACTGAATAAAATTAAGTGCTTGGTTAAAATGTAAGAGGCATTATCACACGCTGTGAGGGTAACTTTTGCAGTTTGAGGAGTATCAGCAAAACTAGCCCAAATTTCTCCTGCTTCACAATTTTGTGCTATCTATGAAGGTTAGATATTAGCAACTTTGGCATTCAATTTTTTTCTTTCTTTATTTAATTAAGAATGTTCACCTTTTTAATTAAAGGAAGCACCTCATGGCTTCTCTTTGATGTATCCTAATTGCCAGCATCATTGCTCTTGTGCTTTGGGGTCATTACTAAGTAAAAATAGGGTTACTTTAACACAAGCACTGAGATACCATGACAGTCAATCTGATAACTGAGATGGCTACTAAGTGACTAAAGGGTGGAATACTCATTTTTTTAGTCTTTTTTTTTTTTAACTGAAGTGTAGTTGATTTACAATGTTAGTTTCAGGTGTACAGCAAAGCGATTTGGTTATACATATACATATACATATACATGTACATATACATACATACATATATATATTTTCAGTTTCTTTTCCATTATGGAGTTAAGTTCCTTGTGCTATACAGTAGGTCCTTGTTGTTTATCTATTTTATATATAGTGATGCAAATCTGTAAATCCCAAAGCCTAATCTATCCCTTGTGGGATACTCTTGACAAAGGGATGATTCACCCTCAGAGAGGAATGGCTGATTTCATCATGCTGTTCAGAATGGCACACAATTTAAAACTCAGGTATTGTTTATTCCTGGAATTTTCCATTTAATATTTTGTAATATTGTTACATGTTGAACTTGGGTAACAGAAACCTCAGAAATTGGAACCATGGATAAGGGTGGACTACTGTATTTTTTTTATGGAGGGGGAATTTGCTAACAAAACAATTATACTATTGTTACATCTAACAAGTTTAGAAAGAATAGATTAAGTAATTACTGAAAAAATTATGGTTGTTTTAGCTGGGTGAGTGGTAAATGGGGATCATTATGCAGACTATTTTTAAATTTGTTTAGAAATTTTCCTAAAGAAATTATTTAAAAATACATATAGAAGTAACATACATATTTTATAAAAATCTTGTGTTGAATGGAAATCTGCCACTTTGTAATCTGAACCCATTTCACCCACCAGAGCAGTGGCTGTCAGCCTTTAGTGTGTATTTATATTATCTGGAGGGCTTGTTGTAACACAGATCGCTGCCTCACTCATAGCCCCTCAAGAAATGTGCATTTCATTGTTCTGTGGTAAAACTGATGTCTAGGGATTCATTGTGAAAATCTTTGACCCATGTTAAATCTATTAGAGCCCAAGGCTATGGTCCTAGTTACCTGAAGACATAATTACTAAGAGCCACAGGGGTATAAAACGTTAGGATTTGAAGAAATGGGTAGCAAGTCAGCTTCTATACCATGTACTCGACACTTCATGCTTCACTGCTTTACACTTCTAAATATAAACACACAGGAACCTTACACAACCTGCCCACCTGAATTGAGCTTTTGACTAGATATAAAAATGAATATGTGAATATATGTCTTTTACCATGCAGATGAGAGTTTAAAATATTTTTATTGATAAAGAAAAACTCAATTATCCTAATACCTGAGTTCAGCTGGGATAAATAAATAGTTGTGCGGGCATGGTGAAATCTTCCCAGATTGACAAGGGGCCTATAATCATCTCAGTGTCTGTTACATTTGCTAACACTTTACTCCTAGAAACTCATTTACTCAGCCTTGAGGATACAGGTGAAAGTATAATCCAGAAATGATATGTGTATTTTTCACTTATATATTACATATAGGGTTGAAGATAGCCTTCCCTTCATAATAGCCTTGGATCAGCAACCTGAAGGAATTAACTTTACTCATAATTGGCAAAGCATATAAAATGCTACAGTTAGGAATCATTTGGGATGAGGAGGGATGAGGACAACAAGGAAACTGGTTTCCTCATCAGATAGGTATTGAGCACTGTCTGTGTGTAAGATACTGTGTTAGGTATGTGCAGTATGCAAAAATGGAAAGACATAACTCTAGCTTTCATGTTACCAGTGAGTAAGCAAGAGATTATATGTATACGAGGAAACTTCCAATTATCCTCCATGCCTGGAGAGTGCCACGAAAGATGCTGGTTACCAAATTTAAAATGTGCTCAATATCTGAAAATAAAGCTATCAGATATTCTTAATTCTACTTAATTCTCTCCTGTCACATCTAAGCTTCTGGAAACCATACTCTGTTTCCTTTTCTTCATCTCACTTTTATTTAACCTACTGCAATTTGTCTTCTGTTCAAACTATTCCACTGAAAATTCCTCTCAACAAGATCATCGGTGACCATCCTAACTGCAAATTAAAAAGAAAAGAAGTTGAGGGTTTTTTTTTTATTATTATTAGCTCTTTTTTGCTGACTTAATAGAGCTGGAATTTCCTTGAAACTTTTTATTCCCTTGAAATCTATGACATCCTGCTCTCCTAATTCTTTTACTCTAGGTAAATATAGTAAGTGATACCTTAATGACATCAACCTAACCTGTTTAATTCATTTTATTTTTATATCACCCAAAGCTTGAAACATTACAGGTTTGGTGTCCTCCAGGAGAAATTAGGCCAGCCAGCCATAAATCTTCCACAGCAGTTGTATTACAGACAGTTTCTTTATGTTAGTATTCTTTAATGGTAGTATGGGGGAGAAAAAAAATTGTAGGATGTACGTATATTCTAAAGGAATTTATAATCTAGTGGATGCTATGTAATAAAATGATGATACTACTAGGAAGTTAAAGGTACAAGCTATAAAGGAAGTAGCAAGTACTATTTAAAGTTTCTTTTCTGGAAATATGATCAAGATACTTAAAATCCTCTAGTTTCTTAGGAGGAGGATAGAGATATTGATTAACTTACAAATTTATGTAATTTTACATGTTACAATTTTAAAAGTGACCAGTGACCAAATAAACTGAATTTACAATTTCCATAAAGAAAAATAAAGGGACACATGAAGTTAACAGAAAATGAGGTTAACATTCATGAAAAAAATCAGAACAATTGGAAAGCACAAAATAAAATATTAGCAATAAGTCCAAATAGATCAGTAGCCATAATAAAGGTAAATGGATTAAATTGCTGGCTAAAAGAAAAAAATAGTCAGACTTGATAAAATTTTTTTAGCTAATAATATCACTGATGATCCATGTGAAAACATATGACCAGTCCAACTCCTATAGAAGTCACTTCCATATGGCTTAACAACCAAATGAGAAAGGCAAAAACTTCATCCCTTAGAAGATAATAAAGGATAACACATATGACCACAGATAAAGTACTAGTTCTTTTTTTAATAGCTTTTTTGGGGGGGAGGGGTAATTAGGTTTTTTGCTTGCTTGTTTGTTTGTTTATTTTTACAGAGACACTGGGGACTGAACCTAGGATCTCATGCATGCTAAGCATGTACTCTACCAGTAAGCTATGCTCTCCCTGCCCAAGAAGTATTTCTTAGACAAGACATAATAGCACAAACCACAAGGGGGAAAATGGTTAAATCAATTACAAACACATACAATTATTTAATTTGTGTGAGGCATTATTGGACGCAATCAATATTAGCTATAATATTATTTTAAAAATTCTGTTTATCTAGTGAAAACATAAAAAAACCACAAAGATAAGCCAAAGTTGAACAAAGATACTTGAAAATGTAAGTGTGATAAAGACTAGCATCCAGAATTTTTAAAAATCTTAAAATATATGTAAGGAAAAGATAAACTCAATTTAAAAATTGGTAAAATAGATGAATAGGTGATTTTTAGGAGAAGAAAGACAAGTGACTGATAAACTTGTTCAAGTTAATCAATAATCTGGGGAGTAGATTAAAACCACAGTAAGAAAGAAGTTGTATCTCTCAGATTAATAAAAATTTAAAAGCTCTGAAAACACCAGGTTTTGATGAGAATGTGGAACAACGGGGATAATGCTGGGAGTGAATACTGGAACAAATCCTACAACTCCATGATTTAACTTCTAGGTATATAAACTCAGTAAAATCCTCTCAAATATATATACAAGGAAATGGCTTTGGCAATTTTGCTCTTAATAGTCAGAAAAAGTGGAAGCAGTTTGAATGTCTATCGACACAGAGAATGGATTAAAAATTGTGTATTATGATGATGAAACACTCTATATTAGTAAAAATCAATGAGTTTAGGATCACATGTCTCAGCAAGGCTGAATGTTGATCACCTCCCCACCCCCACCAAGTCCCCCTAAGACACAGGATAAGATACACAGCATAATGAGATAACTTTAATAGATTTAAAAAAATAAAAAGTATTATATATTATCTAGAAATATATGGAATATGCATATAATTAGGAATATACATCTATATATTTCTATATAAATATATGTTTATATGTACATATGTAAGTTATAAAGAATGCACATGAATGAGAAGTACCAAAATTATGGTTATGGTTACCACTGAGAGAGAGAGAGAGAGAGAC